GGACAGAGTTGCCACTCCCAAGTCAGAATGAATTGACTCTGGCATTTGGACACGACAATTTCAGCAGCTTCGACAGAGTCAATTGAGCAGAAGAGTCAAATTCAAAGTAATCTCTGAACAGCAAACATAAGCCTAGAGATCACAAAGCAAGTGATCCTACAAGTAGGAAGAAAACCATTCACTGAAAAATTTATTCCCTTTGCCGTGCTGTTTCAATAGAGCTCTTTTACCCATCCACAGATACACAGAATGGATTCACAGATCCACAGAGAAACTGTTCTTATGAAATCCCTGCAGTGTCAGTGTCAGCAGGTCACCACTAAACAATCACAGCTCTAAAAGGATCCAACAGATGGTTATGCTAGAGATGAGAAGTCCGAAATACATCTGCAGGGCCAAATCACATCCTCTTTTGGATGCTGCACTCTGCCGTTTTTGGCCCACAATTGGCACTTGGGTTCCAAATGCAGGTAGTGCGACAGCCACCAGCACAGGCTGGGATGGAGCAGGATGGGGGAATGTTGTCACATGGGGCCCTGCCGGCAGTGACCACCCACAGACCAGTCATTCTCCTGAACAGGTCTATTGGAGATTTATTCATGGCTAGGCTTCGCGAACGAAGATTTGGGAAGGGCTCTACCCATTTTTCATGCAAGCGCGTTGGTGGCTAAAAAGGCCAATACGAGAAAGGCAAGTCCGGTTGCAAAAGACACAGCAGAAAGACTCCTTAGATGGTATATTCTGCAAGGTTCGATTCTTTCTGCGTTGTCTTTTCTCCTCAAGAGTGATCCTGCGTGCCTTCTCAAAAGCATCAGCAGCGTTATAAATGGTCTGTCTCCAGGCCTCCCGATTAGAGGCCAGAGTGGACCAGTTATGGTGATCAATATGCCCGAGGCTGAGTTGTTGCTTCAGGGAGTCCTTGTATCTTTTCTTTGGAGCTCCTCTCTTGCGGCAGCCAGTGGCAAGTTCACCATAGAGCAGGATCTTAGGGAGGCGGTGGTCCTTCATCCTAGAGATGTGCCCTGCCCAACGCAGTTGCGTTCTCAGGAGCATGGCCTCAATACTTGTGATTGCTGCCTGTTCGAGAACAGATGTATTGGTCACATAGTCTGACCAATGGATGTTAAGGATTGTACGGAGGCAGCGTTGATGGAAGCGTTCTAGGAGACGCAGGTGGTGGCGGTAGATGACCCACGATTGGGAACCATATAAAAGAGTAGACAGCACTATGGCTCTGTAAACACTGATCTTGGTGCTTTTCTTCAAGTGTTTATTACGCCATACTCGTTTATGGAGTTTTCCAAAAGCACTGTATGCCTTCGCTAACCTATTGTCTATCTCCCCATCAATCTTACCATCTGAGGAGATGAGGCTGCCTAGGTAATTAAACTGTTGGACTGAATTGAGTTCTGACTGGCCGATGGTGATGTGGGGACGGTGGGGGACTTCCTGAGGTGCAGGCTGATGGAGAACTTCTGTCTTCTTTAAGCTGACCTCCAGCCCAAAGAGCTCAGCAGCATCTGCAAAGCAGGATGTTAAACGCTGCAGAGCTGCTTCTGTGTGGGCAACAAGGGCAGCGTCATCAGCATAGAGCAGCTCCCGGACAAGATGGTTTAGGGTCTTAGTATGGGCCTTCAGTCGCCTTAGGTTGAATAGGCTTCCATCAGTACGATATCGAATGTAGATACCGTCCTGATCATCGAGGTCTGCCGAGGCCCTTTGAAGCAACATACTGAAAAAGACTGTGAATAGGGTAGGAGCGAGAACACAGCCTTGTTTCACACCATTCTTTATTAGAAAGGGCTCAGAAAGTGTGTTGCCATATCTGACTTGGCCGTGCTGATCCTCATGAAGTGAGATGATCATTTTAAGGAACTTGGGGGGACAACCTAAACGTTCCAAAATCTGCCAAAGACCTTTTCTGCTCACAGTATCGAAAGCCTTGGTGAGGTCGACAAAGGTTACATAGAGACCTTTGTTCTGTTCCCTACACTTCTCTTGCAGTTGTCTGAGAACAAATATCATGTCTGTGGTGCTCCTGTTGGCTCTGAAGCCACACTGACTTTCAGGTAGAATTTCTTCTGCTATAGCGGGTATTAGTCTGTTCAGGAGTATTCTTGCCAAGATTTTGCCAGCAATGGAGAGCAGAGTAATACCACGGTAATTTGAACAGTCTGATTTAGTACCTTTCTTCTTATACAAGGTGATGATGACTGCATCA